ACGCTCGAGGTAAGAACAAAGCAGTCGTATGACAGCTGTCGACCTATAGTGTTGTGACTCTAAAGCAAAACACAATGCTATATACATGGATGCAACACTTAACTTATAACAAGGCCCAATTGCATTCCCGCTTGGACCATTGTGGTCAGGGAACACTGGTCGACGTGAGGCCATAGAATTACGATATGGAATACGGTTTGGATAGCCCTGAAACGGCCGAGACTTTGATGTTTTGGATGCCTTGGCTTTCTTCGCCTTCTTTTCAGCAGTTTTCTCTGCGCGGTCGATCCGTTTCTCGTCATCGGAATTATCGGCTAGCTCGTTAGTCATATATTCAGCTACGGTTTGCCAACCATGGTCGCTCGTATCAGCTAATTTGATAAGCTTCATTCTTGCTTCTATGGCTACTTTACCTTCTTGTAGGAAGCTGATAGCTTTATCGATGTCTTGATGCTCGAGAGCTGTGGTAGCACTTTCCACTGTGTCCAGCACACCAAGCTGGTGATTATATTGCTGCTCATTGCCCTTTGACTTAAATTGAGGTTTCTCTAAGCGAGCCTTCTTGTTCGTGAAGGTTTCTAGCGTCGCTGAATTATCAGCAGACAATCCCCTCTTCAAGTGAGCAAACCGATCGTCGACAACATTGGTAAGCTGTTGGCACATTTGTGTTAACGACTTCTCCATGAATTCTTTCATATCTTTTCCCGAGAGCTCTGGATGAGACATGTTTGACTGAAGAACGTGTAAGCAGCGAGGAATAATCAAGGCGTGTATACGCCTTTTATACTATTGCATAACAATGTAACATAGTTATGTATTCATATCAGAACATTATTCTGCATATCAAACAATTAGATATAAATTATCTGCTAAACTGCGTAACGCAGATAATTAAAACTTACACGAACCGTCCTGACCACATAGCTCAGTTGGAAGAGCATTGGGCTAGTGTTCCAAAGGTCGTAGGTTCGAATCCCACCGTGGCCGGGCATATTTTTCAAGCTCGCCGAGTGTGGATATGCACTCAGAGTAACATCGCAAACACACTATTCACCTGAGTACACAACACCAACACAGAAAAATGCGTTTTAATATATTTTGCCAAATACTTTAAATTGCGTTTCCCACATGAGAACCGCAACGTGATCGAAATATCATATATTCGTATTATATTTTTATTTATTACGTCCAACATGTCTGTCAAATGTGTTTAAATATATATTTTGCCAAATACTCCGAATTACGTCCCACACGAGAACCGCAATGTTAGATATAACATATTTTTTATACACGTACCATAGTTGGCTAAAGTGCATGTAAGTATAAAATATAGCAATGTAATACCTAATATAAGCATCCTAAAGCGAATGACACCCCGCGACCATCATACACCATCTGTACCATCTTCACCATCTGACAGCTCTTCCCTGTATAACCACCATACACCATCATGCACCATCTGACAACCATCTGACACACTTCGACCATCATACACCATCATACACCATCTGACAACCATCTGACACACTTCGACCATCATACACCATCATACGCCATCTGACAACCATCTGACACACTTCGACCATCATACACCATCATACGCCATCTGACAACCTTCTGACACACTTCGACCATCATACACCATCATACACCATCTGTACCATCTTCACCATCTGACAACCCTTCGCTGTATAACCACCCTACACCATCATACACCATCTGAAAACCATCTGACACACTTCGACCATCATACACCATCATACACCATCTGACAACCATCTGACACACTTCGACCATCATACACCATCTGAAAAGCATCCGACACACTTCGACCATCATACACCGTCATACACCATCTGACAACCATCTGACATACTTCGACCATCATACACCATCTGTACCATCTTCACCATCTGACAACCCTTCCCTGTATAATCACCCTACACCATCATACACCATCTGACAACCATCTGACACACTTCGACCATCATACACCATCATACACCATCTGACAACCATCTGACACATTTCGACCATCATACACCATCATACACCATCTGACAACCATCCGACACATTTCGACCATCATACACCATCTGTACAATCTCCACCATCTAACAACGTTTCCCTGTATAACCACCCTACACCATCATACACCATCTGACAACCATCTGACACATTTCGACCATCATACACCATCTGTACCATCTTCACCATCTGACAACCCTTCCCTGTATAACCACCCTACACCATCATACACCATCCGACAACCATCTGAGGCACTTCGACCATCATACACCATCATACACCATCATATCCCATCTGACAACCATCTGACACACTTCGACCATCATACACCATCATACACCATCTGACAACCATCTGATATACTTCAAACATCATACACCACCGTACACCATCTTCACCATCAGACATCAGTTGCCTGTATTGGACATTACTCGAAATAAACAGGCTTAAATTTTAACATAGGGTTAGCGCTAATCCAGCTTTGAACAACCAGCCCCAGTACAGTAAATCATGAAGATATGCAGAACTCATGCTATGCGACTCCAATAAACATTGTATGAAATATTATGATACCGATAGATTTAGAAAACTAGGGCTCAAAATAGCAGCCTGCCAAAGACAGGCCATATTTCAAAAATGGCAAGTGAAAAAATTAACGATTGATATGCATGAGATAAATTAACATTTAATTTAATCTTTATGTTTATACCTGAGTGAGACCATTTTGGCAGTTCAACAATGGAAATGGAAGACCATAATTTATATGATTAGAATGTTAGGGTTTGTAATCCAAGTGATTACATACATTTTAAGACCTGACCAGGAACGACTACGAAAAATGCAGCACAAGGTCCTCTGGTAGGAATTGAACCTACGGCCCTGCGATTCCGGTGCAGCGCTGCACTCAATTCCTACTACTTGTTCACGCAACTACAATCAGATTTGAATTTCACAATCACTTAGGTTTAAAACCCAAATCAAAATGTTCAATAACTTTCTAGTCTTAATTCATAATATGCGATGTATGCCAGTTTCTTTTTTTGCTTCTGAGCTTTGCCTTTGTCATGTTTACTTTTATATGTACAGTATTTTGTTTGTACTTTAATTTACTCTAACTTTGAATAAATATGCCTTTTAATTATAACTGTTTTAGATATTGCGCTAACTTTTACGGGTGATATTGGAACTTGGAATTATTTAATAACATTATTTTATAACATCGTCGTTTTTTCTCTTTGTTGTTTATAATCTTACAACTACCAAAAAAATGTAAGACTGCTGAATCTTAATTATTATAACAGCCTTTCAGGTTGAAGATCGAATGCTCAATTACTGTACATAGTGGAAATTGGCTATTCACTTTTTATAGCATGAGTCAATGGGTAGAAATTCGCTATTCACTTTTAAATATTTAATTCGAAACCTGAATATAACAGAAATATAGTAGTCTAAAACTTGTAAAAAGTTGTATAATTATGAAACGTTGTAAGGAGGCCATGTAAGGAAAAGCATCATAGTTGATGTTGCTTGCCTCGCTGTGATGTGAATCTGGTATCGTGTAATTGGGGCCTTTGATGCAGATTTATTAGCATATAATTACCAGAATGTGGCAGTTGTCATGGCAAACTTTGCCGCCAGAGAACACATGCAATCATACACATGATTATACTCACTAGAGGTGTGCAAATCCGATTCGTTCGGATTTCGGAACCGGATCGGATTGATAAAGTTGTTTCACAGTCGGATCAGATTGGACTTCGATATCCGAAATAAAATGAATTAATTATTCACACATTATCGCAATAATTAATTACGATGAATTTATCAAAGCATTATCGCGGTTGTCGCTACATTATTCGTTTGATACATTACCAGAAATATGGGACATTTTGTTCCCGCTTTTGTAGTCAGCGGCTAAGTCCGTTTTATATGCCCAACATTGCCTAATATAAGTAATTCGACTTCGCATTTTACTTTGAATCTCCAGTTCAAGTATTATTCAACCAAAAACTGTGATTTTAAACCATATTTTGCAGTTTTTGCTGATCACTTCCGGTATTTTGACCTTTAACCCCGCAAATTTTCATCAAGAATAAAAATATTGCAAATATCCTAAAAAATCCTAAAATATCCCTGTGTTTTTACGCGAGAGCCTGGGATCTAGTCCTTCAAAATAAACAAGAAACATGGCTGCTCGAAACAGCTCAAGTTTGTATTAAAACTTGTCGTTTTTGGATATTAAGATGACTTAATGGCGACATACAAGAACCGTAAAAAGGCGAACTTTTAAACGTTTCGGGAACCAGTTTCCCTGGAAATTACAGCGGAATTATTTAGCTAAATTAACAGTTTGGACATCATTAAATATATCGCGAGCTCCGCACTTTGCATCGTCCGAATGGATGTTGGTCTATTCGTCGGATATTTACCTCTTGTGTCACAAGTTTACTATAAATTACACTATGAAATTCATCGAATTGCGTGTAAAAATACAACATTCTCAGGAACCTGCTAGACGCGGTGCAATACTAGCGATTTTTGTTTAGAAATATTGCTTGTTCGTGTCGCTACTATAATCGAGCTCCGCAACCATGAAATATTTAAACAAAGTATATTAAAATTTGATATATTGATCAACTCCCATATAGTTTATAGTAATATTTGGTCGCCATATTTGGTCAAAGTGCGCATGTCCGTCGCCATCTTGTCCCATATTTCTGGTAATGACTTCAATTGGACGTCACTTTGTCAGCTTCTTGATATGTATTTCTTGTTTTTATATTTATATTTATTTGGTTAAATATTTCAACTGGAATGAGAAATTTATTTTATTAAAGAATTCGTCGGATCGGATTGGAATTCTTTATCAAAACTCAGATCGGATTCGGATTAGACAATTTCGGATCGGATTTTTAACATTAGGCAATTGTCGGATCATAAACGTCCGATCCGATGCACACCTCTAAAAGCTATAATTTCCACTCAGGAAAATTATACGTGGATTGGAACGGACAAGAAAATTTTTCTTTGTGTTAAAGTCATTAGTTCCAACCCAGAGCTCACAAGACAAGGAAAATCTTTCTTGTCCGTTCCAATCCACAGATAATCTTCCTGAGTGGAAATTAGCCTTAATTAATACTCACATAACTATAGTTCTTATTCCATTTGAAAGATCCGAATGGTCTTCTACTGTTATAAATGGAGTCATATTAGCATCTTTTGAATTGTGCAAATTTTCTGATAAAAATCCCATTGCAATCAATACGTGAACAAGTTTAAATGCACTCTTATCATTCTTGAAAATAGCTTTACCCTTTCCAAAAGATGGCAGTGTATGCAACCCCTTTTCAACAATATCTTTTGTTCTGTGACCACGATACACTTTGATGATACACTTTGGGGAAACTTTAGCTAGGACACCAAGGATTTAAATAATGCAGATAATGAGATCCATTGCATGGGAGGTCACATCTTGAGATGTCGAACTGTCCAAGCTGTTGAGACACACATCGCACATTTGGCACAGACCAGTCTGGCTTGTCTGACCAAAATAATTAAGCATTGATTGTTTCCTGCATTTTTTGTCAACACAATACTTTGTTATCTCATCCAGCCGTTTTTTGCATTAATTTAATTTGTGAGCATCATCTTCAATTTCACTGATGTGCTTAAGGAGCTTTCCTCTGTCCTGGAACCTGAATAGCAAGATGCAAGATGATGAACACCCATCCCTTCCAGCTCTCCCAGCTTCTTGAAAATACTCCTCATTTGACTTGGGCATTGAATGATGAATAACAAAGCGAACATCTCTGTTATCGATTCCCATGCCGAATGCATTTGTCGCACACATTACATCTGACCGACCTTCTAGCCATGTGGTAGCATTATTATTCCGTTCGAACAAGTCCAACTGTCCATGATAATAGACTGCTTTTACTCCCCTTTGTTTTAAGTGATACGTCATGTCTAAGGTATCGCGTGTTGAGAAACAACCCTTGTAGAACCAAACACTATTTAATTGCTATTTAATTCCTATTTTATTGGGCTATTTAATTGCTATTTGTCAAAGTATTTATTTCCTATTTTTACTATTATTTTTTTTCGAGGTTTTTCCTATTTAAATTGGGGTAAAAAAGCTATTTTTTTCCTATCCAAGTGGAATCATATTTTTTTCCTATTCATGATATATTTCTAAACAAATACTTAATTGATGTACTCGAATAGAAATTAAATAGGTTTCAAATATGATAAAAATAGAACTATTTAAGGAAATTATTAAAAATATATAGTTTCGACATAGTTAATAAATATGTATGAAATAGTTAAAACATAGTGACAATATAGGTATAAAATATGTAATAAATAGTTGAAATCAGTTTCAACTAAGTTTAAAATAGTCAATAAATAGTTGAAAAATAGTGATATTATAGTTTAAAATAGATAATAAATAGTTCAAAAATAGTGATAATATAGTTTAAAAATAGATAATAAATAGTTCAAAAATAGTGATATTATAGTTTAAACATAGATAATAAATAGCTCAAAAATAGTGATAATATAGTTTAAAAATAGATAATAAATAGTTCAAAAATAGTGATAATATAGTTTAAAATAGATAATACATAGTTCAAAAATAGTGATAATATAGTTTAAAAATAGATAATAAATAATTAAAA